TGTCAGGAACAATTACGAAATTCATCGAAACACGCATAAACCTACCTCGAACTTCACCTCTGCAGCAGTACATGTGTGGTCAGCCATTTTTTCATCTGGAGTTCTACGCTTGCGCAAAACATGAGTTTAACCGCTTTGTAAGACGCTCTGTGATTGGCTGAGTAAATTGTCTGGTTCTGGAACGAGAGTTCCTATGCGGGTTGTTCAGATCCCGGTGGCTTTCACGAACAAAACCATTCTTGCAGCGAAATAATTGTAACGTAAAAAATAATTAAAATAAATAATAATAATAGTAAATAAATAAAATAAATAATAATTATAGTATTTATATAAAAAAAAAAATTAAAAAAAAATTAAGCCAACCAGGATCTTATTTTAATCAGATTGGATCAACATCATCCAATAGGTAAACGTCTGTTTCCAATATACCGGTAAGTATTTTTTCTGTACTATGTGATGCTCTGAGATTCTACACAGAACTTGTAACTTTGCACATAAATGTCCCATTGTCATTTTGAAAAGCTAGGTTTTACCTGAACTGATTTCATCTGTGGTCACCTCTGAATGGGCCTCCCAGTACTCCCACCGTAACCATGACAATGCATATTTAACGCCAGTTTTTAATACTCGTAATGATGGTAGTTCAGTGTGTGTGGCTTCATGGCGTAAATTGACCAACCATTCAGGAAGTCCCATCTAAACCACAAAAAAACAACAAACATACAATTACATTCAATATAGTATGTCTCAAGACAGTCAAGACTTCTCAAGTTGTGTTTACAGCAGTGCATTGTTTTTTGGAATATTTCAATATAGCTAAAGCATCATACATGGAAATGGTGGCTTTCAAAATCATCCATTTTCTGTGAATACACTAAAACTAAATTCTACATGAATTTTTTTTTGTCAACATAAAATATCTAGAATTTGATGTTTAGACACCAGAAATCCTACACCAATGTAAAACCTGGTATGGGTGAGAGGGTTGCTATTTGTAGGTAACTAAGGCAACAGATCATCAACGTTGTTAATCTCGTACTAATTTCTGGAGACAAAGTCTAAAAAAAAAAAAAAATTGACAACATATGGCAGATTTCAAAAACATGTATTGTTTTGAACTTTACCTCACTACATTAAATACCAAACAAAGAATTATTATGTCGGAAAAAGTAACCACAGTTTAGCAATAGAGAAAGAAAGGCAACCCAGGCAAAGACACCTTTCAAAAAACTAACTGCTTTGGTTTTGACTGAACGGTTGGCTTTTGAATTTCTCTGGCGCCGTCCTGTGGGGACGCCCACTCTGGGTGAATCTATATAACAGTAGGGGGCCGTCATACTTTAGTTGGATAGCGATTTCGCTTTCAAATATGCCAGGGAAAGTGTTCTATTTTATTCGTGTAATGAGGTGTTCGTGTACAAGAGATTGTCCACGCAAAAACGATGAATAAAGTCAAATTTTATGAGCGGTTGGTTTAATGTTACCCGAACGAATCGTTTGGATATGAAAATGTATTTTCTCCCTAATTTGTATGCAACTGATTCTCAACTTGTCTCTTTATTGAGTATCAATCAGTGTTCAAGATGGCCTCATATAGGAAATATCGATGGATTAATCGCATTTATCATATTATCACTTGTACGCCAGCTGACTGTGGCCATTCTCAGGCTGACCAGGGAAACAACTTTCACATTATCGCGCTTCGCAAAGCAAATCATTCAGAGGAATCCAGACATGTACCAGGCTACGTAAAAGCATTCTATGTTCCCCATTGCAATATGGACTCACCCAGAGTGGACACGACCACGAGTCGGCGTCAGTGAGATTCGAAAGCCAACTGTTTAGTCAAAACCCAAGCAGTTAGCCAATTCGCTAGTGAGTTTGCAAATTGGCTGCCCCAATACTTCTGAGACTTGCTGTAATAATTTTTCTTTTGATGTATTTGTATTACTTTTTAATTTTTGTTACCTATATATGTATTGCTAACAACCAATACAAATGTTTCCTAAACTTAACACAACATCAACTTTGTTAATAGGTTCCATTCACAACTCACCTTTTCTGCAACAACATGTACTGGCTTGGCACAAAACTTGGTCTGCGCTTGATCCGTTATCATATTCACAAATCTGAAAATCAATATTATTAACAACGTGTGAACATCAATACTTTTTGTTTGTTTGTGTAATCCAGTCAACTGAATAAATAACAAACATTATTATATATCTGTAACCGTAATGTCATAAGTTACAGCGTACCAGTATTGCACTGGGTACATTGTATTTGCATCCTATCGTATTAGGAAATGCAAATTCCAAATATGGAACGATCACAAACATGGCAGTCCCTGGAGCGAAGTTTGACCTGACCCCACACAAAGAAATTTGCTATACGTGTTCTACTCTTTTTGGATTTTGGCATTCCCATGATGTATTCTTGGGAGGATGCATAAGATGTATAATAAGTTTATTACAAGGATACCACAAAGTATGCAGTATCCTTGTAAAAATCTCATATTATTAAATGTCTAGCACAAAAATAAATAATTTACCATTTCCTAAAAAGCCGTATTTACATTCACTGCAAATATATTTGCAACAGTTTGAATACTTAAAACTTTCCTTATTTGGGGTCAATTTATGTCACCAGCATTGAATGCGTTCCAGATTATTGACGATGGTCCAGATGGAGATGCACTAAAATATGTAATGGAACCCTAGCATCAGTAGCATGTATCGCAAATGTTCGAACAGTGCAAAGATTTTTTAGCCATTTTGGTCGTCATCTCTGATTATAACTACTACTAGTACATGTAGTAGGAAAAGATACATAATAATAATAAGGTCATCACGAAAATCAAAGATTACCCTCAGAGCAAGATTGCAATGATCGAATAATGCTATGTGGTGTCAATGATTGCCATACTTCGCCATGTGCGTAATTTGATGTATTGCCGTGATAACCTCATAGTGCAACAACTAATGGATGAGTACACAATATAGCGATGATGTGAATATTCTGTCAATTAACCATTATCCTTTCATTAGTTGGACACCTCTGGACACCTGATCTTTTTTTTAAATATATTCGAGCACCATTAAGCATTTAACTGGTATTACGAAAAGTATGGAAGTTACTCATCACCACTGCTGTACATAGGAACAAACAATAAATCGGGAGTCAAATCTCAAC